CAAGCAAATGATGTAAGATGTTTTATGCAATAAGAGACTTATGACTGTAATTATGTACAGCAGAACTTGTGGACATATTACTGTGCTGACAGTAAGTTTTAAGATAATGTTTAATGAGCAAGTAAATTATGGAATACAATGTTTTATGCATCATTACACTTATGACATGATGTTTTAATACTGACATTAAAGAGTAGCTAAGAATGTAATGACACAAGAAAGCTATAAATGTGTTAGTAATTTAGTCAGAGAACAATTACAAATGAATAAATGTTTGCTCGATACTAAACCATTCATGACAACTTTATTCCATTTCTTCATTTGCAAACAGTAAAAATCAACAAAGAATGACTGTTTTTGTCTGAAGTGACTGATACATACTTTTCTTTTGTGTATGTTTTGTTTGTACACTCAAACAGATACTTTATTTTATGGACTATAAAACCCGTCTGCACTTTTGTAAAAGCTATTTTCCAGAAAAACAAATTTGTATCATTAGTCTAACCCATAATTATGAGCATTCCCTGTATACTGTAACTGAACAAAAACATTTATTTATTGGTAAAATTTCACTGCTGTTGAATCCAGTGTTCAGTGTGCCTGTCAGACAGGACCATAAACACCTGAGCACATTCTGCACACCTGCCCACAATATACCTATAAATTCGAAAAGAAACCTGGCCTCAAGAGCAAAATGTGCAGAGCAAGCTATGGGGAACTATGAAGGACCTACTGCTGACATGCAAGTTCATAGAGGTAACCTATCTAATGGTCTGATCTGAGCATAAGAAACCGAATGCAAAGAAGAACAATTCAGTGTTACCAAATAAAAACATGTTTCCCACCAATTCAGAAATATAGCCTATTTTTAACCCTTTCACATCAAGAACGCTAAAAAACAAACGTCATGACTCAAATAGGATTCCTGAAAAAATCTATAAAAAAACAATTTTGTTTACACAGGTCACTAATAAATTCATAAAAAATGTATTTATCGATATCTTAAAATTATTTTTTTATAAAGATATATGAAAAAAGTAATCAAGAAACACATACGGGGGTGAAGCATTTAATTAAGTACATCCCCTGGGGCCTAAAGAACACACACGTATAGGCTGACTCATGCCATGACCTTTACCACCGAGGCTTACAGGAAAATCTTACGTCATCTAAAAAAAGGGCCTTTAGCACAAAGGAAAACCCCTCTAAATGCTACTGTCAGTTAATTTATTCATACCCTGACCTCCTAAACATTTGTGTAGATGCGAACTCAGCTAACTGCATCAACTATACATTTTGTAAACAGGTCACAATAGGCAAGTCAGAAAAGGGACATTTATGGGGAACTGGACCCTACCAGAGGTGTCAGTTTTCGGCTTCTCAGGGCAAAAAAAGGTTAAGGCAAGCAGCATATCTGGGAATTTTAGTTCAATGTTAGGTATCAGCTTCAAAGTAAAAGATGCACCTGGAGACCATATCTCAAAGACGAAAAGTGTCTTATAGCACATAAAATATGTTAAGTATTAATTCATTTCTTGATGTTATCTCACCACTGTACTCTTTCCTATTTCTTGCTCATCTATCTTTGACTTTTCAGTATGGTTTTTATAAGATTTTTTCATCTCTGAATGATTATACTATATGAAAATTAATAGTGGGCATATGTTTTTAAAAAAAAAATGCATAGAATATGTACTATATAAATTGGTATATCTAGATGAAGTATTGGCATATGTTCATAAATTATCGTCCAATTCCATAAATGTAGTCACTGATGGCCAATATACAAATGATGATATAATATACACATAGTTTTTGATGTGAATAACTATACCTACAATGATGTCACAACCTGTTATCTTTTCTTAATACATTCGGTACAACAAAACTCAGTACCTGCTTTTTATAAGTATATACATGACACCCTTTACAAAAAATAATGGTGCCCTACAGTTCTTACATTAGCCCACACTATCCAAGTTGTCATTTATAACCCTTGCAACAGATTCTCTCTCTCCTAAGGCCTGAATATCCAACATAGTTTTATCTAAAATAAAACTTTTGATTTATGTAACTTACTGTACTCCTACCTGTCTATCCATCCCAAGTCTTTGGGTCACATCCTATATCTATATCCAACAGTATCTACATACTGCAACAACATACATATGCAGAGCTTATACTGAGCTATCATATTATTGGGATTTTGTAATGGACCGCACTGTAAAGTGATTTTATGGGTATTCTTGTTTGTAATTCTATCACTGTCTGTTTATGTCATAAGCTGACAAACTAGCCGAAATATTAATTTTATCGTTTGTTATTGTAAAGCTTGAAATACTGAAATATTTTAATGATACTTCTATCCTTCAGGATTGACTATCTGAACACCGTTAGTCTCCACATTTATTAGTAAATAAAGGTCCCTTTTCCACACCTTTAGGTGCATAGGGTTAGACCGATATTTTTATAGACAATCAGCACAAAATGGGTGATGTGGTCAGCACCATGCTGGCCGCCTTTACTTCCCAGGACTGCACCCGGTACCCACTCAAGGCTGGGTTGACCTGTGAGTCGAGGTCATTTAACAGAATCTTTAGCAAACTGTATTATTGGTTCAGTTCTAACCTTTCAATTTCTTCTCTAATTGTATCTTCTTCTGTAACAATGGCAGCTAAGAAACCTCATTCTATTATGATTTTCCATTCACGTCTGACGCCGTGAGTCAAATGCCTAAACAGTTAGGAGGTTCACCATGGTAGATATAGATATTCTTCTATGTCAAAAGTGGTATAAGTTGTCACAGCCGACCTGCCATTTGCATATCACATGTTGATTTCTCAATCCATTCTGCTATCTGTAGTGAAATTAACCAGCATAATAAAATTCACCTGTATGTTTGTTTCTCTTTTATTTATTTTTAATAAATATCATGTGCGGTTTGTTAAAAGTATTGGTTGTACAAGTAACTGTCATCAGTAAACAAGTAACTGTCACGTCAGTCAACACTGGACTGGCATAGATAGGTGCTGAAAGCTGATGGATTTACAAACAAGAGAACTGAGACATCTATGCATGTGTACAAAGGGCAGTGATGGTATCTAAAATGGCAGTACTTAGTCATCACAAATTGAGTTTAAAAAAAAAAAAACCTTTTAAAGAAAATTATATCTGAACAAAAAAATACACAAACTGCACAATTTGCCCGACATATTTTATTGTATCTTGTCGGGTGTATACTAAAGTAACAATTAAAAAGTCCGAAATAAAAAAAATTTAAAAAAGTCTTTCGAGTGAAGTACAAGAATCCACCATATTCAAATGTAATAGCTTGATTAAGCAGTGCAAGCAAAGTTCACAACCATGTCTTTTTTGTCTTACCAGGAGTATGCAACAGATGAGATACAGCAAAATACACCACCAAGTAATAAATAAACTGTGCAATCAGTTGTTTGTGTATTTCTTTGTTCAAAGTTACAAAGGAGAAGCATTGCTCTGACGTAAAATTATATTCCATATGAAAAAAATTCACTTGTTTTTGTTAGTATGTATTTAGGCAAAGAATTAATTGTAAATTTCAATTGTGAGCTGTTAATGTCTTGTATCTGCATATCTATGTCACTCTCCATCTCTCTCATTATCTGTCATAACCCCCTCTACAACATCCTGACTAATCTTCCATCATTCACAAATAATCCTGACAACAGGCTGCTTATCTAAATTCCAACACAATGGCTGTTACTAAGACATCCTAACGTTAACTCTGCACAAAGCTATACAAACTATTTAAAGGGATAGAAAAAAAAACTGTCAAGTTCATCCTAAACAAATTCCTACTGGGACCAAAATTTTGTTCATGCTAATCAAGTGTTCTTAAGCGAGCTCATATTAACAAGGTTTTACTGTATTATAAGTAGCATATTCACAATAGCACTTCTGTCAATGCCAAACCTGGACACTGTTGAAAACTTCTATATGTAAAATGTCTATCTGAGAGGCACCTGAAGATGCCAATTTAACCACCCGAGACTTGAATGAGAAAACAAAAAAAACTATCAGAAAGATTGTGGGAACAGCCTGTGTCGAATATAATGAGAAACAGAAGATCTAATAGTCTGGAAATCTTATTATAATGCAGCAACACTAGTTACTACACTGAAGCTAAATCTAAGAGCTATGTCAGCACTATATAAACCTTCTTCTTTTTCTTTGCTTCCATAATGCCTTGCAGCATCAAGGCAGTAAGGGATCTCTGAAAAAGGCCCTTCTGTTCGCTTCGTATAAAGTACTTTTTAGTGTCTCTGATATTTCTGTGGTCCATCTTCTGCATGGTCGACCTATGGCTTTGTTACCATTGCATCTGTATAACAATGCTCTCTGTGGTGCCCTGTCTGATGCCAATCTTGATACATGGCCAAACCATTTGATTTGTTTTTTTTACCTGTGAAGTTCAAAATTGGTTCTGTGCCGACTCTCCTCCTGATATCATCACTCCTGAAGGTCTGATCACCCTGAGATTACAAAAATCTCAAACTGAATGCTATATGAGGACAGCTCAAGAAGAAGATAGACTGGTGACTGGTAGACAATGTGCATTCTTATGGAATGACAATTTCCAGTGCCAACTATGGAGCACTGCATCCATGACACTCTATGGCAAAAATGGAAGATAATTATTGTCCCTTCTCCACAATGAAAGTTGACTGCAATGTATTTACTGTTGTAGAAATATTATAAGTGGTGGGCCAGTAATCTCTTCCACTGTGCAACTCTGGAACCACATCTGAAAGCCGTGAGAATGGTCTTTTTTTTTTTTCTCTTCTTCTTAACCGCCCACAGCGGAAACTGAGCCTGCTAAGTGTTGAGGATTTTATTACGAAACATTTCACCAACCTCTCCAGGTCACAAGAGATGACAACTAGAATTCTTTATAAACATTAAAAACTCACACTCCTGCCAGAATATTCATGGTTTCCACCAGAGAGAAAGAGAAAAAACCTTCACAACATAAAAAAAAACTTAAATCTGTTTTCCTCAAATGTCAATGCTGCTCCTACTAATAACCGATCCTGCTCAAATCCCGTAATCTTGTGGCCAAAAGTATCATCAATTCCTTCAAGGATAGTAATGTGTACCAAGAATTCTCCTACTGCACCTCTGGAAGTAAATCTGGGACAACAATAAAAAAAAAAAAATGCAATGAAAAAATGTACCACAATGTCTTAATAATAGTGAAAACACACATACACACAAAGAAAGAGAGATAGAGAGAGAGAGAAGGAGAGAGACAGACAGACAGAGAGAGAGAGATGGGGGGATAGAAAGAGAGAGAGAGAGAGAGAGAGATGGGGGGGGTAGAGAGAGAGAGAGAGGCACATGTATATGAATACAGAGAGTAGAGAAAGATTTCATACATACAGAAACATTTAAACAAGCAAACACACCCACATATACTACTTTTCATTCACACATATATACAAAATATTATATACATAGCTATGTATAAAAGGAACCCATTCAGGCAGGCACTCACACATCATGTTAATCTCGAAGTTGAACTGATAATTCAGACAATTTGTCAACAATGAAGAAAATGACAATGACTAATGTAGGGGAAAAAAAAAAAAAAGCAAGAATGGTGACATCCAGGGATAGCTGGATTAGTTATCAGCTATCAACATCCACCAAGCTATCCAGATAAATTTTTTGGGTTAAAAAGTGAAGGAGATGGGGTGAGAATGCTTGAAGTAAAAAACCTTTCGGCGCATCGGGCATAAGAATATTTTTAAAATCAGGGGGGGGGGTAATGTGGTCTTCAGCCCCGCCGGCCCCTTTCCACTCCAGGACATTAAATAAGAAAACTTTGAGGTACCCTCAAACTATGCCCTCCTCACGGCCCTACACATTTTCTAGGCAAATAAGTGAATGGAGATAAGGGACCTCAAGTCCTTCCAGGAACAAAAAATGAGTAGGGGGGGGGGGGGGGGAAGGGGTGTTAGGGAGGGTAATTGAATGATAAGGGCTCAAGTCCTCTTTATGTGCTCCTCTTTAGCCATGTACAGAAATTATTTTTTTTTTCAATTTGATTGTTCATACATTGAATACTATTTCAGGCATATTTATAATATTTATGTAAATTCAGCATATCATTATTTGATTATTATTACTGTGCTGTTTGACAAGTAAATACCTGAAATGATATAAAATTATTATAAGCAACTACTCTTCAAGAAAATTGTAATGCATGGTTTTAGGGGAAAGTCCCTAATAGACCGGAGACCCCATTACAAATTAACCATCGACAGTTATGACAGTTAAAACTACAGTACCAACCAAATGTTGTAACAATATGACAGTCAAAACTTATGGTACCAACCAGTCTTGTAACAATATGACAGTTAAAACTACAGTACCAACCAGTCTTGTAACAATATGACAGTCAAAACTATCAGTCTTTTAACATTCTGATAGTCAAAACAAGTAACCAACAGTCAAAACTGACAGTCAAAACTTATGGTACCAACCAGTCTTGTAACAATATGACAGTCAAAACTACAGTACCAACCAATCTTTTAACAACATGAAAGTCAAACTACAGAACCAACCAATCATGTACTGAGATGATAGTCAAAACTATGTTACCAACCAATCTTGTAACAATATTACAGAACTAACCAATCTTGTAATGAGATTATAGCCATAACTACAGCACCAACCAATCTTGCAACAAAGGACAGTCTGAACTACAGTACCGATCTATTGTATAAAAACAGGACAGTCAAAACTATAGTACCAACCAATCTTGTAACAATATGACAGTCAAAACTGCAGTACCAACCAAGCATGTATAAAAAAAAAAAAAGGGAAAGTCACAAATACCAACTAATCTTGTAACTATTCTACTGTAGTTTCAATCAATCCTCTAAGAAGAAGACTAAAATGCAGTGCTGGGGAGACCCATTACTTACAACTGGTGGCCCATAGGCTAAATCTGGCCCGCGGAGGCCTAGCTAGCGACCCTCTGACCATTGCCAGTTGTATTGTATGAATGATCTATCTAAGCTGGGGGTCAGGCTTCTGGCCCGCGACAGTCCCCATTTTGGCCCTCTGAGTAAACAAATGAATACCCCTGACTTACATTTTGTGACTAAAAAGCCTAAGCTGCTATGTAAATACTTAAAAAGCAAGAAATAAATTATACTATTCCACTGACCCAAAAAATATAAATAAAATAAACAGCGACTTACTTTTATGATGAAAGTTTGGACTGTTACTGTAGTTTGCTGGTGATATGCCCATGGAATTGCATAGCTGAACAAAGAGAAGAATATATCCGACACTTGGTTTATAGAATGTTTGAACAAAGAAACATTGCAGCTTTAATAGTTTGAGACAAGTATTTAATATTAATATTTAAACACAAGATCCAAGCTCAAAACATGTTTTTGGCTTTTGGTAAAGGATTACATTCAGTCTTCTTTGTCTCCTGCCTTTTTATCTCCTAATGAAGTATAGGCCCTTCAGTCAACTCATGAAAGATCTTTCTACCTGTTGTTATAGAATTCAGCTTAACCCATTCATTTATTACATTTACTCTTTATTCCCTGCTGCATTGTTTTTTTTAGTCTGCCTTTATTTCTTTGACTCTATGGGTTCCAGTGCAAAGATACTCTAATTATAGTAGTGTTCTCAGGTTTTCTCAACATATATCATATCTAAAGCCAGCATCTTTTCCTCACCTCTTGATTTACTGGCATTTTTTAATTTCCTCCAATGAGCTCCATATTAATCAGGTCAAAATAAACGCTAGGCACGGTCACTGTTTTGAGTCGTGGACATTTTTTTTTACTTCTGCCAGACAGTGGCAGCTGCATTTTTGCTCCATTTGTAAAATGAAAGGATATAGTTTCGTCACCCAGCTACTGAGTTGAGTGCATGGTGTGACCCTGTGAGCTGCCGATTTCATTTGGAATGTTTTTTGGCAGTGACCAACGTGGTGTTGTGAATTGAAGATTCAGAAAATGGCGCGTGGACTGTCATCGCAACATTGGTGGTGCCCTTTATTGATTAAAATTTATCATGTGTACAACTGCTGATTTATTGGTTACCTCTGCTACTGTTGATGATGAACTGCGTTTCTAATGCCGGACTGATTGTGTTAGCACTTCTGATGGCTACCGTATGCTTTTAATGCATTTGTATGCTAGTGCATATGCTGAGACAGCAGTCTGTCAATCTTTCCACAAGGGACTGTGATAAACATTATGTGTGTTTTTCACTGGCACAGGAGCGGAAACTATGGGGTTAATGCATTTTTGCAGTTTATTAGTAACTGCTTTAGTTGTTCTCCATGTTTCAACTCCATATAACAGTACTGCTTTGCTATCAGAAGTAACTAGTGTAATTTTTTGTTTTACCTTTTTATTTCCACAGATTTCCTAGTGTTATGAAAATTCTTGTCTTCTGTATTCATATTTTCCCATTCAATGCAGATAACTTCACAAGATACGCAAATAATGGAAAGCCTTCAGTTAATAGCCTGTGGGACCTTGAAATTCCAACATTGTTTGTTTTGAGATTGCGTTTAAATTCCAAGGCAATTTTTTCCCACTGAAAAAGAAATAGAAGCTAACTGAAGCTGTCCCAGGGTCCAACACACTCAAATGTTAAAATGTTAGTTAGTTAGTAAGGAAATGATCACTGCACTCCGGACATGTCCGTAGGTGCTCAGATCCTTCCCTCAATATGAACCCTAGCGTCCTGTAACTAATAGTATCAGTTCTTTGTTGACTGATAAGTCTTTTTGTATGCCTGGTGTCTCTCTTGCTTTTGGCTTTGCTAATCTTAACTCCTGAGTCTTTCATTCTGGTGAGCGATGTGGAATCACTGTCTTTTAAAATGTATTTTCCAAAATACAGTACACTGTATATACAGTTAAACATGATGACCAAATCTGAATACAAACATACATAAATAGAAAAAAAAGATATAAAAAAAATATACAGTATTTACTTTACTCTGATACAAATTGCAAAATAGCGCATAGAACATCCCTAATCAGTAACCTGTTACAAAATGCTTGTTGGTGACTGGAAAGGGGGGGGGGGTGTATTTGTGTGTGGGGGATCAATGGTGCCTCAAAAACCATATGGGGAACTAAACAGACTACTTTTACTACATTACAACTAGGCAATATTGTACTCCTTTCCAGTTTCTACAAGTGTCAATCAACACTTGTAAATTTAATTATCCTGCTAACCCCTAAACTGCCAGCTTCAACTGCATTTGTGATAACCATTTCTGAATATATAGTCAGAAAAGTCCAGTGTTCTGAAGGTCGTGGGTTCATTTCCCAGACTGGCCATAGGTGAAATTTTTTACGGAGATTAGTGGGGATCGTCCTCAGAGCTAAGGAGTTCATGCTTTGAGTGATACTCAGCAAGCAGCTAGTCGCTCTGTAAAGAGAGATTAAAAACATAGAGAATACAAATCGGTGCAGTAAAGTTGACCCTCCTAATTTCAAACTGACAAACTTTCTTGTAGCTTGTAAGATAAACATGCCCCTTACCTTCTTTTCATTCTCAGAAATCAGTTCAAATCCTGACATGCTGCTGTTCACTTCCCTGCGAGGTTGCAATCTACTCTTTCTATCTCTTCCTGTGACCTTTTCTGCGTTTTCTATTAAAAATGTAGCCATTTTTTCGAGGTCTTCTCTGGAATAGAGTAACAAAAATTTAAAAAAAATGTATAAAAATACCCATGCTGTTAACATAAGGCACTTGAATAATTGAGACAATTTGAGTAAGTGAAAATGAAAATTAAATTTAAAAAATAGCCAAAGATCAAAAATTAACATATTGTCACTATCTTAAATTTGCATTTTAACAAAATCTTTTTCCATGATGATTTCAAGTCTGTGTGTTCTGTGTGCATAAGGTGCGACAGGATTCTAAAGCATCTTTTCCCGGGTGAGCCTGCGTACTTTTACAAGCTAAACTGTACATCTAATGTCTTTAACCTCTGCACTTCATCTTCTTCCACGATTCCCTCTTGCTCTCATATTTTTATTAAATGTATAGTGTCTGCACTGGTAGTTGTTGTGGCTGCACTGTGATGAGACCACCACACCAACTTTCTGCTTCCTAATAAATCTGGCATTTGTGTGCTGTTGATCCACTTCCAGACTTTCATCTTGTTCCAGGACTCAAAAGTTGTGCGTGGAAATCAGTTTTACAGATCTAGCTTATTTGTTTGCAGACTGTTAGATCTTCACCTTTCTGGCAGATGAACTCTAGACTTCAATGAAAACATCCCTAATCAGTTACCTCTTACAAAATGCTTGTTGGTGGCTGGGGATGTATTTGTGTGTGTGTGTGTGTGCATGTGTGGGGGATAAATAGAGCCTAAAAAACCATATAAAGAACTAAACAGACAACTTTTACTATATTACAACCGTATGTTTAATGTTAATTACAAACGTATATAGTCTGTAAGGTTTCTGTTTCCGGCACTGTATAATATTAAAGAATGAAAACATAGCCAACTTAATGAATTTTTATAAAAGTAACAGACTAACCCTTATAAGGTAAAAGTAACAGCAAATACACATGCCTTTGGCTTATAGCTAAGCATGGAGTAAATAACAAATTATAAACTGTTATTTAAAAAAAAAAAAGAAATCAACTTACTCTGTTTTTCTGAAGATTTGCAAATTCCGCTCTGGCATTGAGGACATCCCCTAATATAAAATAAACTAGCCATTAGTGATCAATTGTGTTACCATTTCTGTTTTAGGCATCTAGCAGCCAAACACAACTTTTTAAACCCAAAAGGCATTCAGAATTTTTCTTGTGTTTGTTTGGTATGAACAAAATTACACAAAAAAACAAACTACTGCACAGCAAAGGTGTTGTTGAAATATAAAGCTTACAAACTGCTTGGTGTGAGTTTGTTAAGGGTCTACTCCTTTGGAGGTTGAAAGACCCAAACAAGAAATTTGAACACAGATGAGGCTTTGGTTTAAAATAATTTCACTGTTAAAAGTTCTACTGAGCATCAAGAGTTAATTTTTAAGAAGCTTGTGTTAAAAAAAAACTTTTTTTTAACATTATTTAATCAGCAATCAAAACCCTTGTCTACAAAATGTTAAATGAAGAGTCGATTAATTAATTGGGGGCTTCCTTCGAAGTCGGAGTGCATCTGCCTAAAAGGTAAGGAACCACCAGTCTGCATACAAATAAGTCAGATCTGTAAAATGGATGTGCATGCAACTTATGTTCTGGAACAAGTCTAACATCCATTTTAACGCCCAGAGGTAGCTGAACAACCAGATCTTTCCACCAAAGTTTACAGCCAGTGAGCACAAAGAAGAAGATGAAGTAACAAAAAAAAAACAATGAACTCCATGAAGTAGTCCTAACACAAATGACTAGAAACCTAGATGTTCTGGGAAGACACAATAATTCAGCTGGTATGATGCTGTCAATCTCAAGTGGGCATTATGTGGAAGACTGTCTGTGACATGCATGTAAAATGTTCCAACACCATATTTGAGGAACCAGGACCTGTTGCTGTGCAAGGCCTCTAGATACTCCCCATGCACACATCACATACATCCCTTTTCTGATTACTAGCAGCATGACGATGGAGGTGATGATGGTGACACAAGCTTTCATGTGGCTGGAATTACAGGATTATTCCCATGTCACGCATGATTGTATGAGCACGATCTGGCAGGTTGAGACGTGTCCTGAGTGCAGTGAAGATAGCCCAACTCATAACTCACATACTTATACCATGAGAAAAAGAAGCATTGCCTCCCTTATAAGCAAGCAGTAAAAGGTGACTGATAGATGTTTACTGAAATCTGATGCATCAGGCTGAAAGGTGCAGATATTGCAGCCTTGCTGTAAACCACAACACAATATACCAACTAGCCTTTTAAGAGCAGTAAGACCACGATAATATGACATAACAAACTGAAGCAAAAAATGCTGGGATAAGAAATTAATGGAAAGGTGAACATTTTGCAACACTACTTAAAATAGACAACAAAATCATTCTCTTACACCAGATCAGTAAATAAGAAGACATAAATCCCACTGAAGCAAAGACAAGATCTGCTCAGCAAAAGACCTTGGACTGCAAAAGTGCATCACATGGCAGTAAGAAATGATTAAAAAATAAAAAAAATGAGACAAAATTAATTTTTTGACTAATTTAAAAGAAATTAAAATAATTAGGAGTATTTTTTCAAAACTTGTCAGTGCCGAACCGGGCGTAACAGCGTGCACCGAACATGATTATGTCACTGTCATGTGACAAGTACTGACCAATGAATAAAAGAACACATGCTTTTTGCCTTGGAGGTAGGGGGGGGGGGAAGGGAGGGGGAATACCCAGGTTCTGTTTCTGACGGTTGAGAAATTGCAGGGCTGATCCAAAATCCGCCCAAAGAAGCTCAGTTTGTTTCCTTTTAGGGCTAAAACCAGTGGACATGCAGCAATACAGGTGAACCATTATTGAGGCATACACCTGCTAGCAAAAGAATTTGATGTTTGATTGGGACAGTTCAAAAAGTTGCTCATAATAAACTGAAATATCGGAGGGTGTGTTCACAGTCAGCACCCTGCAACGGATATGGTAAATACTTGGTTCAGTGAGCTACCACATTTCATTTATTTTTTATTTTTGCGGATGGCATTCACTGCCTACCTATGCAATGGGATGCTTGACTGAATGCCTATGACAACCCATGTGGCATAATCCTTTCAAAATGAAGGTTATGTTTAATTCCGCCACACCTGTTGATGTTTATTTCATTATTTTTTGCTTTTGTTAAAAAAAAAATCTGTTTGAACAAATTTTAAACAAACACTTCTTAAAGCACAAAAGATATCAGTGGGGAAAAAACGGATGAACAGAGTCTGTCAAAATGTATAACTAAGGTAAGTGTTACAGCCAACATTCATTTGGAGACAGCATCTGACTGACTGACAGAACAACTGGAAGATGGCTATTTTCAAAACATCTATCCAATTTGATCGCTCTGTGGCTAAGTCGATGCGAACGCTTCATAATGCCGGAATGCCAGGTTCGATCCCAGCTGCAGGAAATGCGCCTTGCGTTGGTTTTGACAGTAGTATCAAGAAAGCCGACTGTCCAGAAAGCAATGGCAAACTACTGGACATAAATTTGCCTAGAAAAAAACACACAACAGCCAGGGGCTGTTGGGGTTGGTACTGCAAAGTCCTGTAAAGGATGCGCAACTAACCTAACCATTTTGACAGCAAAAAAATCTCAATTTAACACTCACGCTCATAAATGACATTTAACTACATTACATATTATTATGAGTCTAACTTGCAGAAAACAATTGTTTTGTTAAAGTGTTTCTTATAATACAACAACAACAAAAAGTTCATCTGCCTGAATTTGAGCCCCAATGCAGCACTATGTTTGAGTTAAGATGCATGGTCTTTTGTGGTTTTATGAAACAAATTTGTATAATGTAAATACAATGCATACAAAGATAATAAGCTACAAACCGCAACAGCAGCTTTTACACACTGAAAATATTTCACTGGAAAGTCACAATAAATTAAAGCTAGGACCAAAACTTAGAAACGTAACTTAAAATACTAAATGAATACCACTGTAAGTATCAGATACATGGAAAACAACTACAATAAACAGATATAAGTCCAGGAAAAAAAAAGGAATTAAATGGTGAAATAAACTGACTAAACTTACAGAGAAAATATATCAAATTCTAAAGAATCAAGAGGTGGGGAAAGGACCAGAGGCTGTATAAGACACATAATCTCACTGGAAGAAACGTCTATAAAAAGTTTTAATTAACTGGAGACCCAAAAATACAGGGAGAAGAGAGGTAGAAATGGAAATGAATAAAATCTGGAAGACTTGTAAAAAAGATCTGCAAGAAATGGGAACAACTTGGTGTAAATTTTTTTTTTTTTTTTTTTTGGCAGAGAAACTGCTTCAATAAAGGAGAAAGGGCAAAGAAAATTCAACAAGTTATACTAGCATGAGAAATCACCTTTTGACCGCACAGAAAATAAAAACATTCTACTTTTAAATAAGTCTTCCCTCGTTTGGGTTCCAAAGACTCATTTTAAGTGAACAAAAAAAAAAAAAAAAAAACTAATCCCCTGAAGTCGCAAGGCATTCAAGGAGTAGAGAAATGAAGAAGAAGAAAAAAAACAAATCCAAAGGCAATAAATTTAAGGCTATGCTGAAAGTGGATGTGTTGGGCCGAAGGTACAGATATCGCATCCTGTTAACCACAATATAATGAAGAAGAAGGAAACGGTGTAATCAGTATCCACATTCTCTAAAGACTGGAAGAATGTAATATCTCAATGGTCCCAATATGATGAAGGTAAACTCTCAAATATACTTCTTAATGACAGAGGATAAACAGTACACAAGAGAGTGGCAAACAGTGCAGTTTGTCAAATATCTACTGGAACAAGAAGACAGTTTTTTGAACGAGCAGATCGGGCCACTAGCATACCTTGACAGTTAGAAATTAGTAAGAAAAACAGAGGTCACCCACGAACCAAACATGTAGACGTTGCATATGAGGAGAAAGCACAACTTTATCTTCAAAAGAATACTTATATCCTCAGCTTACAAAGTGAAATGAAGACATTATCTTCTTCTTCTTCTTCTTAGCTGTAAAGTTTTGGTTGTTCTCCCATTTCTGGACTTTGGTCTTTTTCCAGAATTGAGTTTTGCATGCACATCCGCACATCCGTTTTAGAGATCTGGTTTATTTGTACGCAGACTCTTGGTTCCTCGCCTCTCAGGCAGATGCACTCCTCCTTTGAAGGAAAACTCCCCTAATTAGTCGCCTTGAGGGATACGCTTGTTGGGGCGGGGAAGGTGGTTTATTATTGCTCCTGTAAAAACGGGACTTGAAACCCACATGGGAAAAACATTACATTCAGAACCATATAATCAATGTTCAGACTGAGTGACCTACCATAATATTGTCTTCTTCTTCTCATTTACAGGCTGTAACCTCCAACAGAAAGTTCTGGTTGTGTGTCCACCTCTAGACTTAATTTCTTGTTTCCGTTTCTGAGTTTTTGCAAGCACATCCATTTTACAGATCTGACTAATTTGTATGCCTCTCAGGTAAGTGCATTCCGACTCTGAAGTAAACCCTAATTTAGACCCTTTTAAAGCATGCCTATTAGGAAGGTAGTGGGACTATTCTTGCTTTCCTCCCACTGCGAGGCCTCAGCACCTACATGGGGATACCATAATATCAAAGTCTTTCTTTACAATTGAAACAAAAATTTAGGAAATTGAAGCAAAAGCAAGACAAATTACATAAAATAAAGAGAACTAAATAATATGTCACAGCGGTTTGAAGAGAACTTAGGGAACAATGATTTTTTAAAAGAAGGTACCGTGGATGACAACTGCTGTGTGAATATGATATACTAAATACCCTCAGCATGTGAATGATGAGGCAAGGGAGTGTAGGGGATCATGTCGTTTTTGGCAGCCTGATGAGAATGAAACTCAAAAAGCTTGCAAAATGATGATGGAGAAGACATGTAACCAAGAGACTATATCATCTAAACAGAAAACAAAAAACACATGCAAGTCACTTGATCTCAGGGGAAATAATTCAAACTACCAAAAAAAAAAAAAAAAAAAAAAAGCAAAAGTAAACAAACTGACTGATGTATCCTCACAACAAGGGACAACAGTATTATATAACAAATACCCACATGTAAATGTACACAGCATGGAAAACCGACAAAAATTCCACTCAAAAACAAACAGAAAATGTTTTAAAGAAACAACAGCAGTTACTGATTTTTTTAAAGGTTTTTTTAGGTTGAACAAAGCTGACAGGAAATAATTTTAAAAAACAAACAAACCCACCCAAAACCCCCCAAGTTTCTTTGTTATTTATTGGATAATAAGCAGTGTTGACATAGAAAGAAAACACATTTCTATTTTGGTTTCTTAAAAGTGCAGTTATTGTCTTTGTTTCTTGCATACCCTTTCCTCTCTCGTAAACTACATATAATACTTTATTTAATGTACAGAATTTCACAAAAGGTGATAAAATACAGAAAACATTTACCTTTTCAATCGATAAGTTTCTAAAAAAAAAAAAATGCATGTTTAGTGTGTATTGGGGCTCCAAACGGCATAACTTTTAAAACAAAATTTATCACTTACGATTTCTTGGTCTTAGCAACTGTGCTGCGAAGATTGCACTCAACAGCTTTTTCTTATTTTCTTTCCTCTTTTCTCTTATACACTTTTCTTCCTCATAAATTCTCTCATCTGGCAATTGAAATGATGTGACAGGTTTAACATGTACAATAAACTGATAATTTACCACACACATTAAAACAACAAACTGTGCTCTAAATTTCAAATAGTAAAGTGGAACTTTAAAAAAAAGAAGGTATAATTAACAAAGCTGGTTAGTTAGAAATTGAAGGAAAGAAAAATATACAGCTAACAATAATTGAATACAAATGAAAGCCTATGATTTCTCTGGGAAAAATACTCCTAATGTAAAAATGATAACAATGAAGTGCTTGCATGTATTCAAGACATCTTAATTAGTCTTAAAAATGCAAGTCCACCCCCCTCCCAAATCTCTATGTTTAATGGCAAGTGTGGATTAAAGTAAGAAATAACATCTAACTGTGCTGAGAATACAGACAATACAAATACAACTGAAGTGATATTATTCTTTGCAACTTTCTGATGATTCTTTCGACTGGCCATTTGAGCAATAAATAAATTATATTGCAGTCCCATAAATAATGGCATCAATAATACTGAAGACGTAAACACTGTATCAAGATTAACATAGTCAGTTAGTTAGCTCTACAATTTTCCCTTTTTCAGCTTTGCTCTGTGCTTCATGGATGGCAGTATTTACAGCCTCAGACACTCCTTCAATTCACCGGTTTAAGTGGTAAGAGCCCTCTGTGTTAATCTTCTACAATAAAGCCATTTGATTTTCTGCTTTTAATGTAGACTAACACTGGTGCTATACCACTTTCTTTTGCCTTTAAAAAAAAATTTAACTAATTATGATGCTAGGTTGACACCAACACATACAACACCAGGGGTCCACAATGGAAGCTAACAATAGCAACACTGTAATCTGTGACAGGAGGCAAATAAAAAGAGTTGGCATGGTTTCACAGAAACCTTGAGCTGCAACACAAATCCAAACAACTGTGAGGAAGTCAACAAAGAAAAGAGGAAACATAAAACTGCAGAAGAAGCAAAAGCAAAGAAAAACAGAGCTTTCCTTGAGTTGGCTGAGAGCTTATGCTCCATGCTGAGATGGGATGAGCAGAAGCAGAAGAAAAAGAAGAAAAGGAACAAACTTCATTTTTAAAGGGTCAAGATGAAGAAAATGATCCTAGGAATTTAAAGGCTGGACAAAATGTAACTATGTCACTGATTATAATTAATTTAATATATTAGAAACAGAAGATTTATATGAATAAATTAACCACTATGATATCTCAGTTAACCAAACAAGCCTTCATTATGTTAAAAATCTAATTAAAAGAATAAATAAAGACTGTCTTCATTCAGTAATGTGAGTCGTCATAAGCAAATCACACTAAAGTGCTAGCTGTGCAAGTGAAATTATTGTCCATATTTTTGTTTGTGAAGCTAATTTTGGCTGGCTGCAGTGCAATAGACTACAACACAGATAAAGAATAAGGCCATGCAAAGTTGCAACAATAAACAGATTTTCACAAGACAACACTGGCTGTACACATGTCCATACCATTACCAAAAAAACATAGCAGACACAGTCATGCCAAAATCTAACAGAACTATGAGCGACGTTCAACCCCACCAGGACCGCAAAACGAACGATAAACACCCGGTGACACAAAAAGGTCACCACTCAAATGAGAATATCTGGGCACAAGTCCCAGAAACCCTGTTCAACAGTCAGGTTATTTTAGGACCCCCGACAATAGTCAAGGTGGGGTTTTATTAGGAAAAAAAAAAAATTTCGTCCCAAATTGGGGCGGAAATTACTAATAAAAGTGCCCACTGCTAGTATAATCTGGAAGCCCCTGTGACACAGTAGCTGGATGTTTGCCTGCCAGCCCAAAGTCTTAGGTCCAAATCTGTACCCAGGCAGATTTTACATTGCAACTGGTGCTCCTAGGTTCAACAAGGCCTAAAATGGGTACTACTGGGGAAAGCCTTCTTCTTCTTAGTGTTCACAGATTGTGAACTCCAGTGGATAGTTCTGGTTGTGCACCCATTTCTGGACTATGATCATATTATAGAAGTTAAGTTTTGCATGCAAATACAGATCTGGCTTATTTGTATGCAGATTGCTGGTTCCTTGTCTCTCGGGCAGATGCACTCTGACTTCGAAAAAAAAAAAACACCTGATTAGACAACTTTTACGGCACGCTGGGTGTGTGGATCTATTCTATTTTTACTCCCAAAGTGGGGAACTGAACCCACATGGGGATTTGGGAAATAAAAATAGCTGGCCATGATGTTGATTACTGATCTATGAAACTATGGATCTAGCAACATATACTCATGTACCAGTGGTGTAAAAAGGATTCTTTACATTTTTTTAATAGAACTTTTTCACTTTCAACGGCTGTAATTTCTGCCTGCTCGAAAATTATGGGTGTTCGTCCCCCTCTGGACCTTAGTTCTGTTCCAGAACCTGAGTAATGTGTGCACATCCACCACAGATATGCCTTATTTGTATGCAGACCCTTGGTTCCTTGCCTTTCAGGCAGATGTACTCTGACTTTGAAAGAAGCCCCCCCCCCCTCCCCCCACTTAGTTGACTCCTACGACATGTTGTGGAGGCAGTAGGTCTATTCTTGTTTTGCCCACAATCTATTCTTGTTTTGCCCACAATCTATTCTTGTTTTGCCCACAATCTATTCTTGTTTTGCCCATAATCTATTCTTGTTTTGCCCACAATCTATTCTTGTTTTGCCCACAATCTATTCTTGTTTTGCCCACAATCTATTCTTGTTTTGCCCATAATCTATTCTTGTTTTGCCCACAATCTATTCTTGTTTTGCCCACAATGGGGTCCTGGAACCCACACAAGGATTTTTACAGCACAATCTATGGCATCTGTCTTCCTTTGATAAAATTTCTGAGAACATAATAATGCAACCATACAGAGTTTATGTTTCACCAAATCAGTCATTTAATATGTACAACTTAATGCATGTATATTTTCAACTGTAATTTAATTGTCACAGTGACAAAAACAAAACAAACCAGAAAAAGAAATGAATTCTCTCTCTCACCTGCTAATTTTGTAATGCCATTTTTTCTGAGACGGACCAATTCTTTGATTCTTGCTTTTATTTCCTTTTCTCCTATTGGAGAACAAAACAATTGACAAAATAAAAATTATAAAGCAATAAGTCAGCAATACACAAACATAATGAATCAGTAATATGTTCCTATTATCAGCCAGCTGGCGTAAGACATATCAACAAAAGTGAATAACAGAGAGAAAAGTAAATTGAAATATCTACATTAAATTATCACATCAGAAGGAAGAATGGATTAGTTATTTAGTCGACAGATTATCCACATTGCAAACCTCTTACTGCCAGGATATGTGGGGGTACAAGGAACTGAGCAAACTGATAGGCTTGCAGGTAAGGCTACTATTTAAGCTGGACAAGCCATGGACCAGGCTGATATGCTGAATGCTCTAAGAGAGTTAAGACGTTTGCGTGAACCAACTGAGAACTATGAATCTGCAACCGTGGACAGACTACAAGAACAACATGTTAAACGGGGTTTGGCCAAACAAGAGCACTACGCGGGTAGCCAAAGAAGAATAATAAACCAACACAGAACTGAAGCCGTTAGCCGCCACACTATGCGGGGTTTACTGAGGAGGGGATCCAAGCACTTATGGACTAAATGGTTCGATGTGCAATGAGGATAATCTGTCAACTAATTAACTAACTAAACGTCTTACTTTTCGTGGAGCATGCAGACTATCAGCATGGCCCACTGCTTGCCCCCCACCCCCTCCACAGTAGCTTTACTTGCAAGCCGATCAGCTAGCTCATTTCTTTGCATGCCTGTGTACACTGGCACAAAGATGAAACTCATGTGTCAATCCCGACCGCTTTACAGACTCCAACCACTATGCTAGAAAAATCAAAATATGATTTGCAAAAGCAAATCAGGTACCCGGACAACTAACAACACTTTTAACACACGAGATACTACCTATGTCTATCAAGATAAACTTTATAAGAAATGTATGTTGGCCAACTCTACCCTATCAGTGTCCAACATGGACCTAAATGAACACACTTCACATCAGAATTAACTGGAAAGAAACCAGTCTTTACTGCCTGTATGCACTTTTTGGTTCTTTTCAGCTTTTTCACCCCATCTTAGAGGCTGCCAGATTTAGTAGAGATTTAGTAGGGAATTCCTAGGGAGTTCCTAAGATAGTCCTATATAGGGGTGTTAGGGTTAGTTTCCTCTTCTTCTTCTTTCGTTCGCCCGTAACAGATCATCTATATCTGCAATGTTGTCTCTAGCATGAACTTCACTGTCTTGTGTAATTCACTCAGCGTCCTGTACAGTTTGACTGGAACTAGTGTTCGTCTTGGCCAGATCTTACGCAGTGGGATGCTAATTGGGGATACTGTGGGGCCAGCCCTGAAATAGGCCATCTTGGAGTGGCAGCAGTGGAGGTCCCTGAAAAGGACTGACAGTTTCCATGTATGTATACTAGTGGGTTAGGTTAGGGTTAGATGCAGCAATGCATGAAATTTAGGGCAAAGGTGAAGTCACGAGGTAAGAACAGCACTTCCAAACAGGGCACACTGATGGCACGAATGAACGCAAGCTACACTCACTGGAAACGATGAACAAACTACACGATGACAATGCTGAAAACAGGCAACACATGACACCCCTAGACCATAGGAGTTTGTGCGTTTCAGGGTTAGTGTTAAATGAACAATGACTAACCCCCCACCCCCAATAAAGAACATTCCTGGGACGGGGTGAAAAAGCGGCAAAGAACCCAAAGCTCTTTTTTTTTTTAAGCAGTGCAGGACAATCTTAAACCTGAGGATTGAGGGCTGCATGGATAGTGCAGTCACCAGAGACTGTGCCAAGTAGGATTTTGCCCTAAAAAAAACTAAATTCATTATCATGAGGATTTGAACCTGGGTTTCTCAAAGGAGAGCCCACTGTTCTTGACCGCTAAGCCAGTCACTCTTCAAACATCAGAATTTCAATAAAAATAAAGCCTGCAATGAAAACAATTGTACTGCCTATATAATGTTCAAGATACAAACACAAATGCTTGAATATCATAATTTCTCATAAGTAGCTTCTGAAACACAATTACAGAGATAATTCTCACTTGAATATTATCAGCTACTCACGGCTTACTTCTGAAATAGAATTATAATTTCAATTCTTGCTTGAAGATCATCATTTACTCATCACTACTGACATATGAGAATAGATTCAATGCACACCCAAATATCACCATTTACTCACAACTCATTTCTAAACACACAATTACAGTTTTCTTCCTTGAATCTTGTCATTTACTCCTGATTTATTTTTACATATTAAATTCTTATTCAAACATCATATTAACTCACTTCTAATATTGTCAAGCAGTAACTGATGTTCTGTTTTTGGGTGGAACTGTGAAAATGGTTTCAATCGCTCTTGTAGATCTCTGAAAGCAAACAGGAAAAATGAAACATACTTTTCAAACCCCAATATTCCAGTAATAAGTGGAGTGCAACCAAAAGAGACAGTCTTATTACGAACTTCTGAGAACAGTGTTAACACAGATTCTGAACCACCAAAGGTGCAAACAGCAGAGAATAATATTTAATTAGAATAATCAATAATTAAAAAAAAAAAATGAATATAAAAGATGTTTAAATTACCACTAAGTGATGATTTAGTGGTGATTTTAACAGATTTCGTAAATTAATTATTCTTATTATCATTACTAAGTGATGTGCTGTGCAGGTTTGGTTTTTTTTTTATGTTAACCAGCACTAATCTTTGTGTGCGGGTATTATGTTAATTACCACCAAACCCATCAATATATACATATTGCTGTGCAATGTTGCATAATTTTTTTATTTTTTTTTAAATTGTGTACGCCAATTAAATTCTGCAATATTCGTCTCTTGTAACAAATGATGCTGAAATACTAGTCTGCAAGCTAAACAAACAGTACGCTGTTTTACTTTTTCAACTTCCCTAATACTTTCTGGAATATAAGATAGGTACATCATTTTGTGAAGACAGCCATTTCAAAGGTCTCTTTTAGTAATTAAAGGAAATCAGATGGCAGGAAAACATGCTATTGGTTCAAACAATTTACTTATTACCTTCCAGTTTTCCCATTTTTCTTTTTAGAGTGAAGTGTTTTAGGATTTCTGGGTATGGAAGGTGCACCGGCAGCAATCAGACCATATTCTCGAGCGATCCGTTTCCGTCTGTCTCTATCCTGCAGTCGCAGGCGGTACTTGTAGATCTGAGCAAGCTGTATTGCTTAAATAAAGAAAACAAATTACTTAGTCTCACAAAGGAAACTGCTCTGACAATATGATTCAAAGATAATAAACTTTATAGCCATAGCGTAAGGATGATGAACTTAAAAAAAATAGAACATAAAGATAATGAACCTTTTACCAATATACCATAAAGATGATGAAATTTACCAATGTCATAACATAAAGATGGTGAACCTTTTATCAATTTACCATAAAGATGATGAAGTTTACCAATGTCAAAACATAAAAAATGATAAACGGTTTACTCTCTCTCTCTCTCTTCTCTTCCACCTTGTATCTCATCGAAGTGTCGGGGGGAGATGTAATGTTCGCTGATGGGCTCTGTCAAGAGCACTATTAAGACTGATGTTCATTTCTGTAAGGTTGTTCTTAATGCTCCATATTTTCTGAGGTCTTCCACTCGCTCTTTACCCGTTGTAACGTTTTAGTGTGGCTCGCTGTGGCGGATAGTACCAGGGCATTCTTGTTAGGTGTCCAAACCACTTCATTTGTTGTTCTTTGATGACCTGTAAGACTAGCTTTATTCCTAGCATTCGTCTGATTTCATGATTTCGTATTCTGTCTTTCCTTGAAACTCCTGCAGCTTTTCTAAGGCATTTCATCTCTGTTGTCACAATTTTATGTTTATTGGAGGACTAAGTGTCCACGTATGGCATTGATAGCATAGTGTTGGGCCAAAAAAATATTTTTGATAACATTCACTTTAGTACTCGGAGGTATCTGCTTCTGTGTCAACAGGGGAGATAGTTGCCCCATTACTTGATTAGCTTTGGCACATCTGGAGCTCATGGTTCACTAATATACCATAAACTTAAGGTGATGAAATTTACCAATGATATAACACAAAGATGATGCACTTTAAAGGAGGAAATATTTATCTGGAGAAGGAAAGTGTCTCGGATTTCTCTTTCTTTCTTGAATTCATCCCATTTAATTTACTCCCATTAACTCAAGAATTTGCTTCCAAACACACACACATTTTCCTCTATAACTGTAGTGGTTTAAGATTTAAAATACAGAAGAAATCAGATTAAAACTGCAACTTTATAACCAATAACTCATGAAGACAAAGCACAGAAAAAGTCTGACATAAATGAACTTAAAGATAGTGAGGACATACCGGTGTCTATGTCATCGTCATCTGGACAGTCTGATAAGCTGCTGACTAGAGTCTCTGCCTCATTGTCATATTCCTGAGGAAATTTAAGTACAACAAGCATTTAAACCGCTTGCTTATAACAGAGACCACGTTGCAGACACACACAAAAGCCTAACAAAGTTCACAATAACAGGTACATAAGCGTAAATAGTTAAGAACACCTTTGACATCGTTGCCGCATCGAGGGTATGGAGCTAGATCCATATTTTATAGACCAAGCAGCACTTGTACAGGTGATGTGGTTAACATCAAACTAGCTTCCTTACTCTCCTAGATATTTCCTGACACCCATCTTAGGCTCATTTTATATATTTCATTTCTTTGTTTTCTGCATATGCCAGCTGTGGACTCCTGCAGTAAGTCCTGGCTGGTCACCTGTGTCTAAACTATGTTCTTATTTCAAGATTGGATGCTTCATTAATATACTACCCCAAACAGGGAAAATCCACTGGTCAAGGGACAGTATAATATTTCAGGGGATGGTTGATAGGCTGCAGGCAGTCGTGGGACCTAGGCTGCACTCTCTAGTGGGACGTAGGGGGGTTGTGGTTAAGGCCAGTTCTAGATGTTTTGGGGTCGTTAAAAGCATTAGAAAGCCAGGTAACCCAGTCTTACCACCCTATAAAATGTTGGACTGTCCTGTGACGTCATCTGGTGTAGAATATTAATAAAGAACCCAAGATTTGAGTGTTGTGCACTTCCTCGTAGGGAAGCCATTTCTAGGAGGACCAGTACTGACCCTGGTCCTGGCCCACCACAGTAGGTGGTGCTGCAATGCAACTCACATCCAACATTCCATCTCAGTGTGGCGTTTTTATTTATGCAGAGCTTATGCTTTTACAATAATGATATGCATCATCATCAGGATGTGACAGGTTCCTTGCAGAATGTCGCTCTTATCAAGGTTTGCCTGAAAGAAACTCAGTCTTTCACAAGCTATCTCGCCTCATGCACCTTCGTATTCAAGGAGTCACTTATATCCTGTGCCCAGCTTCATGCTGATCGGCTCCTGCACCTACTTTTTGATAATATGCCTTCTGCTATTATTTTTTCCAATCCACTTAATATGGCTAAAATATTTCAGCTTCGAGACTAGATGCTGTTTATTAACCAATCTTCCTTGATGTTCAGATCTTTTATAATGTCAGTATTTCTTCTCTTGTTTGTGTGTCCATGGTATTCTGAGAATCTTTCAACAGCATTATAGCTCAAAGGCCGCTTTTTTCTTCTTTAATGACTATGAGATAGTCACATCGGTATGTTGCTACTGGGAAGATGCATGCTCTCAAAATGCTGTGGTTCCAGAAAGAAATAGTAGTAGAAGAAGAAATGAGAGTCGGCAACAACTGACATACAATGCACACTGTAGCCATGGTGGCGCAGTGGTTAATGCACTCGCCTTCACCAGAGGGGCAAACTTATTGTTTCTGACCATTATGGCTCGACCGCCTGCCCTCATTTAAAAAATAATGTTTTTAAAAACTGCCTTGGAAAAAAAATGATGAGAAAGGGATTTTCTACCCTAACATGTATGCCATGGTTTAGAATATGTGAAGGCTTAACGCTTGACACCTCAACAGGGGTAACTGCTTTGGGAATAACTTTAACCTTTTCGCTCCTAAAAATTTTTAATGGATCATTAACCTGTTGGAACTCTTTCCCCCCAAAAAATTTGTTTACACAGTTCACTAATAAATATTTTAAACATTTATTCAATGCCAATTCTTTTTCAAAATAGACAAAAGGCAGTAATAAAAAGACATGAACGGAGTGAAGCAATAAACAGAATACATTCCCTGGGGTCTAAAAACATGTATCAAGTGACTCCATCACTGAGGCTAACAGGAAAATAATGCTAAGCTGGTTTTAAAAAGCTATTTGGTTCACAAAGAGACCCTCCTAGATGCTATTTTTTATGGAATATTTTTCTACTCTGACCTCCTAAATGCTGGATAGGTGCAAAATCAAAAAATGGCATTAACTAGGTATCCTGTAAACCAATCACTGTACAAATGCCAGTTAAGCGGCACTCTAAGAGAACTGTAACCTACTGAAAGTGTAGCAGCTGCTGCAGCTTGCTGCCTATTGCATAACAAATGCTTTCACAAATAAACCTGATGCCCATTTCTATTCATAAAATATAAGATGCATGAGGCAAGTTAAAACGGTTGTATTACTATCTCAAAGTCATCCCTCAAAGGCATGTAGCCAAGCTCCTGCTGCTGCTGCAGTCCAATGTTTAGAGGTGTAACAGGAATGGTCAGGCTCGGTGATAAAGGACCTGCCAATGCTGGAAGGAAATAAAAACACAGTAACTGACTTGTATTAATACTTTGTAAACAATGTACTTATATACTGTGTATCTAAATAATTTGAAGTATGCTCTTTCTCAGGAAAGCTGACGTGGTGTAGTGGCTAGACGTTTGCCTGTGAATCGGAAGGCTGTTGGTTCAAATCCAAATTGAGCAGGACTTTTTTCAAAAATGACCTTTTCTCCCAGGTTGACCCAGCCTTAAGTGGGCACAAGGTAAAGTCCTGGGAAGTAAAGGTAGCTGGTCTGATGCTGACCACAACATCCACAGAGAACTGGTCTATAAAATATAGGTCTAGCAATACATGCCCACTACACCTGAAGGCACGGAAAAGGGTCCTTTATTCACTTATTCAGAGCTTCAGAGGTTAGTGTGATTGCCTGTAACAACAGGGGTCTGGGTTCAAACCACAGAAAAGACAGAACTGAGCATATCACCCATTGAGTGCTGACTGGTCTTTACAAATACAGGTCGTCATGGTGTAGCAGCGAGACGCCTGCCTGCAGATCGGAAAGTCATGGGTTGAGGTCCTGATGGTACCAAACGTTTTACAAACATAACCTTGGCTTCCATGTGGAGTCTGAAGTAAAGGCAGCCGCCATGATGCTGACCACATCACCCACCAAATGCTGATTGGTCTGTCAAATATAGGTCTAGTCCTATATGCCCAATAGGACTAAAGGTGTGGAAAAGGGTTCTCTACTTTATGTCTGATGTGCTAAAGGCGTGAAAAGCGACATTTGCTTAATATCTAAATCTTTTTATTCTAGAATTATTATTGCAACACAATAAAAGCATTTACAACACCACTTTTTCTGTAATGCACAAACAGTAAATTCTGCAAATGGTGCTTATCAATATGAAGAAGTTCCCCGTGTGGGTTCCGGGGCCCCACTGTGGGAAGAACAAGAACAGACCCACTTCCTTCCCAACAAGCATGTCATAAGAATAGACTAATTGGGGGCTAGACTAATTGGGGGGTTTCCTTCAAAGTCAGACTGAATCTGATTGAGAGGCAAGGGAACCAACAATCTGCATATAATTAAGTCATATCTGTTAAATGCAGATGTGCATACAAGTTATGGAAAAGGACTAAAGTCCATAGATGGACAAACAACCAGAACATTCCACAGAGTTTACAGCCAGTGAACCTGAAGAAGAAATAAGAATACAAAGAATTGCACTGGTTAAAACATTTGCCTGTTAGCACTGCAGTAGTGTGTTCACATCCCCACTGAGAAAGGAAATGTTTAAAACTGATCTGGGCTTCCAGACCAATCCAGCCTAAAATGAGTACAAGAAATATTCTAGGAATTCAAGATGGGTGGTGTGACACCATTGACAACATCCACTATGAGCCAGTTTTGGTCTACAAAACTAAGGGGGCTAAAATTAAACTCAATGCACTTTCTTTAATCCTTTCACCTCGTGAATGCTAAAAAAAAAAAGTCATAAAAACCACAGGAATTTATAGAAAAAATCCATTAAACCTGCCTCCCCTCCAAAAAAAAAAAAAAAAAAAAACCACTAGGCTCCCAAAACAGACATGGCAAGAAGCCATTTACTGCACATTTTAAAAATAGTAATTATAAAGAAGAGTACCCTTCACGCATCCCTGGTGCAGCTGACATATTGTTCTAGACATGGTTTCAAGCAAACTGGCACTCAACATGTGATTAATATCGCACCTTTCACCATCCTTTGTATGCTGTTAGACGAAACAAAGGGCTCGCATTCGATTCCTCCACTCCGCTATTGCATGCAACTCTCTCGATTTCTTATATGGAGTTCAGCCCAGCATTTTTAACCTCTCTCTTTAATAATGTTCTTCTCAATGTTTCCCTTGAACGTCCTATTTTTCTCAGACCATGTTTCCCATTTCAGTGCTTGTTTTGTAGTTCTTTGCTCATTTCATCTCATAGTGTGCCCAATATATCTCCACACTTTTTGTCTTACTGCAGCTGATACAGGTATTTGTCCAGACAATTTCTCTGATCTCCTCACTCTTGTCATCTTTACTTCCTAGGAAATTTCATGGCTTTTTCAAATTAATTAGCACAAAATAATACAAAGAACTTTACATATTTTTTTTAGCAAGATGAAAACACAAAAGCTTGTTTACCTAAAACAAACAAATGACAACATTGCACTATTCTAAGGCTTAAAAATAAATTATCTCAATGATTACCTCCAGTGGCGCTAGTGTGGTCTGTGATGCCTGGTCTGGGAGAGTCCTGAAGTGTTGCTGAAATTTGTTTTTGAAATGTAGTAAGCAACTGAAAATTTCTTAAAATTTGAATAAACATTTGGACTTTAAACTTCCACCTATAACACAGCAGTCGTATGAAAATCAACAAATTACCTCTTTTAGCCCCAATTAGTTATTATTTTAACTCATATTAGTTATTATTTTAACTCATTCTATCAAAAGAAGCTTGACTTTAAAAATAATAAACACTGGCTTAAAGAAGTTCAACAGAGAAACTATGAGACAGAAGTAGCCAAACTAATAATTCACATACAAAGGGTTAATATAATGATTGTCTGTGAGTTAAAATAATGACTGTCTGTGACAGAAGATAAAGAATAATATAACATTTGGAAGGACCATGAAACATATGGTGCATTTTACTGTCAGGTACTGAAACAGATAACCCATTAAAACTGCATGAGCTGATCTTTCGCAGAGATAGAATTAAATGCTACCAGCAACAAATTCAACGGCAAGGAAACTTGAGCAAATCAGTGGCAAATATGATTACAAATTTAATAAAATTTGCCAACCTCATATTTAATACATCTGCAACTAAGAGCCCCTTTCAATAACAGTAAAAAGGCACAAAGTACAACAGGATATGTAAAAAGATCTACTGGCTTTTACAAAACTATACATACTATTGGTACAGTACAAGGGGGAAGGGAAGAGAAGACAAGGTAGCCAAAAGAGACTTGCACTACAAAAATGTGGCTGACTTGGACAGGTCTAAAACGTAAAAACATCAAGTTATGCATACCTGATTATCAGAAAGTAAGTACCCTTTATACGTTAGTGAAGCAACGGGGGTATGGTGCTAGACATCAATTTCAACACATTTAATTGGCACTCAGACACTCGCCCACAGATCTGAAGGTCATTGGTTCAAATTCACACAGTGCCAGATTTTGTTTGGGGGGGGGGGGGGGGGGGGGGGGGGTCACACCTTGGCTCCCAGGTCCACTCAGCCTTAACTCTTGTAGTACCAAGGAACTTTTCATACTTTCATTGGTTACTCTTTATATGGTACACATTTATTTACTTGTCCTATCTCATTCTTCTGTTATTTTAACCCCTTGGACTCTAATTGTTACTCTAACATAGGCAGCCTCAAAGAAAATTTTTTCAGCCCTAGGAAACAAAATATTCTTGCTCTAGGATTCAAAAATGTTATCACAGACTTGTTCAATTCAAAATATCCATAGGATTGAAAGAGTTAAATGGGTATCGGGTGAAGTCCTGTGAAATAAAGGTGGCAATGTGATGCTAAACGCATCAACTATCGAGAGCCAATTGATCTATACAAATATGAGCCAAGCCTCATATATGTGATGCGCCACTGACATGTAAAAGGACTTTTTCTTTTTTTTTTTTTAAAACTGACACTCATTGAGAGAGAAGATTAACATCACAACTACCACCTCTACTTCTCAGGAACTGATCAAACAGTTAACAGTAACTCATTGACCCAAAGACACACATGGTTATGGAACTACATAGACAGAATAGTGTAAGGCTTAGACTAGTGGGCAGAAATGAAAAACATGTCACTGAAAGAAGCAATAATGAAGCTGAATGACACAGAAGTCCATAAGTAGGTGGACATGTTATCAGGAGTTGTAGTAGGACTGAACCTTAAACCAGATGTTTGACATCATGCCATGGAAGATCATCTGTGTCAGAGTTGACTGAAAATACACAAGAAAGAAGGTTGTGGATAGACATGAATACCAACGCCACACGGCATGGACTTTTAGAAAAAGATTTGGGGACCATTGCTCTATCACCTCTCTCCACTTCATTCAAGCCCTGTTCATGGCTAAGGTGACCAGAATGCCAGACTTAAAATGACGTCTTCCACAGAATTTACAACCAATCAAACAATAATAAGCTTCTAAAATAAAAAAGTATACAAAACAGTACTATGATATGTAAACAATCTTACCATCTCCAATAACGCCATTAACATAGAAACGTCTGTAGTGTTCATCACAGTCCACAGATGTTCTGGTCTCAATATGAGCTGATGTACCATTCCTTTTTTTGAAAAGTGAACAATATGTTAAATATAACTGCAGATCTTTAAGAGAATAGCTCTGCTTTAAGTACCATATGTTTCTGTGTATAGGACGAATATTTGCTCAAATCGTTCAAGTTTAAAATTGGGGCGTCATCTTATACACTGAATGTGTTTAAAATATATAATTCCTAATTTTGGGCTTAAACAATAAGGGTCGTTTTATACATGGGGAGCATCTTATATACATGGTTCCCTGTGTGGGTTCTGGGGGCCTTGTTATAGGGAAAACAATAATAGATCCACTGCCTACCAAAAAAGCATGTTGTAAGAGTCCACTAATTGGGAGCTTCCTATAAAGACAGAGTGCATATCTGCCTGAGAATCAAGGAAAAAGCAGTCTGCAAACAAATGAGTCAGATCTGTAAAACAGATGCACACCCAACACTCAGGTTCTGGAAGAGGACTGCAGTCCATAAGTAGATGAACAACTAGAACTTTCCGCCAGAGTTTACAGCTGGTAGACGAGAAGAAGAAGAAGAATATATACATGGAAAAATACACTATGTGCTGCGTATGTCATTGCTGAGATAGTCTCATTAATAACTAATAGACTGAAATGGTTGGGGCACACTGAAAGAATGTCAGATGACAGAAAAGTAAAAACTGTATACATGAGGGAAATGAATGGGCGTGGACCACAAGGCAGACCAAGAAGACGATGGAGAGATAATATCCAGACAGACCTGAAAACACTTGGTGTCACCAAATGGAAAGAAAAGGCCGAAGAGAGAGACAAATAGAGGCGGTTGATATCTGCAGCAATGAACCTCAAGGAATCGGAATGCTGAAGAAGGCCAAGCAGAGAGATTAATGGAGGCGGGTGATTTCTGCAGCAATGAACCTCAAGGGCTCCGAATGCTGAAGAAGGCCAACCAGAGAGATGAATGGAGGCGGGTGATATCTGCAGCAATGAACCTCAAGGGCTCCGAATGCTGAAGAAGAAGATTGCTAAGATTATTATTAAATTTGTTTAACTGATACACACCTCTAAAGTTCTTTTACTGGTGCAGATAACGTTGAGCCTGACTATATAGCATTCAATAAATTATAGTTGAAAATTAATTTTCTCTCTCACTGAAAGTTAAACCAGAGACACTGGCAGATGTTAACAAACATAAAACTATGCACACATTACCCCCCTCCCCCAATATAAATTTGTAATTTACAGAATATTGCTTATATAGGAACCACAGGATCAGGTGGTAGGGATATAAACATTTAAAAAAAGGAGTTTGTCAAGGATGTGTGTTATATCCAAACCTTTTCAACTTATATACAAAAACATTTTTAAACAAGTCAAAGAACTGTCTGGACTTAAAATCAATGGAACAATAAACAATCTATCTCTATCTGAGAATGCTAATGACATACTGTTACAGCAGCATGAGCAGGATACATGATCTAGTGGACCAAGTAAGCAGAAAAAGTGCAGATATGAACATTTGAAAAACAAAAATTAAGATAAAAATGGAAAGAAGTGGCCAACAATGAAAATCACAGTACATGAGATATTAGAACAAGTTAATAAGATGCAAAAATTAGTGACAGGCAGCTAGAGAGATAAACAACACATCAAAAATGATAATGGTCAAATGTTAAGTATACTCAACCGTGCTGTATGGTACAGAAACCTGGACAATAGACAAGCAACTAGAACATACCTGGAGATGTGGATGTACAGAAGAACAGGTGGTATTTCATGGACACAATAACACTCAAATTCTGAGGATCTGGGGAGACTGACAATTAAAAGAATAACTCTTTTAAAAACCATACTGGAGGGAAAAATCAAAGGCAAGAGCAAGAGGTGGATAAAGATATAATTGGAAGAACAACAAAAGATGGACAAACAGCAGACTCAGAAAGGTTACTACCAAGAAAAGAGACAGAACTTGTTGGAGATCCCCTGCAGTCAACCTTCACCTGACTGATAATACAACATACAGACTTATGATGTTATTTATTATTTCTCACCAGTTCCCATATCCATATTGTTCGACTGCATCAAGGAGCATAATCTCTTCGGTAAGAGTCCATTTGCTGGAATCTTCAAAAACACACGGCCCTTGATCATTCTGAAACAGCAACATACAGATGAATATTTTGAAACTTAATTATGGTATTGTGTAAATTCGCTGGTAACTTGTCTAGATGTGCCTTTCATAGTGTGGTGACACTGGTCACATGAATGGTGAGAAAGTTTAGGTGGCTGTGTTGCATATACCCTGTATCTCCAAATGTGGGTCTATGATGGTTGAGTGGAACTTCATGCAACCCTTGTGCCATTTATCCTCACAGTATACCATGGGTTTATGGTCTGCACTGGCAGGGGACCTGAAACAGACTTCCTAAGAGTTGCAATGATTAAATACTTTTGAGGAAAAGCATCTATTCAGCCTATTCTCAAAGGTATGGATTACTGTGTCGAAGCGAAGCCTGTCTTACTAAATGAACTGATCTAAACGTCCACGTCCAACTGAATAATAAATCTGTTTAAATGTCCATGATTGGGAGTCCAGATAAATGCTGCCCTGGCTGTCAGCTGTGAGCTACTTGGCAGGCATGTGGCTATCTAGATGACACTGCTGAATGACTGGTGAAAATGACATAATTCTGTGAAACTAACCTGGAAAGCTTAGCTCTGCTGTGATAGAGACTAATGAGGTTCTACTATGCATGCTTCTAGCTTGACAGAGACCTACAGGCAAACTCCATCAATCATTGTGGACAGGCAGCAACACATCTGTGTGCAATCACACACGTAAGAGTGACATTATTATGCTACATGCCAAAAAGGAAGGCGACATAGTGCAGCGGCTAAACTCACTTGTGGATCTGAAGGTCATGGGTTCAAATCTGCAGCTGGAGTGTTGTTTTTCTTCAAAATGACCTCTGCTCCCAGGTTGACTCACACACCAAAGCTGATTTTTTATGATTAATCGAGACATGCTCAACAAGCTCTGCGAGTCATGCTCAACAAGCTCTGCGAGTCAGTTACAATAACAGCATGTGTGTACAGCTGATTCTCAAGCCAGCAGAAGGCAGTAGTAACGTTGTGATATCAGATGCCAGGCTTTGTTGCACCAAGCAATGTCCATTCACCTTCTCAATGAACCCCCATGCATTTTGTCAGCCCCTCAACACAGAGCCATCAGTATAGACAATCACATCACCTGGGCAGGGAACTTTCATGAATCATTTGTTGAACTTCTGATTCTGCAGCACCAACTGGCCAGTCCATGCACTCATGTCCAAAAGTGATTAGCACCTTACACAAAAGTCTCTGACCCACTCCTCTCCTCGCCTAAATTTATCAAGCCTGCACACATGTCCAACTGTGTCTTCAGCTTGTGCCATCCAAGACTTTCCTCTTTTCAGCCTGTGACCCTTAGCTCTACCCAGGGCTTCATGCAGGAGGTACCTCTTGTTTTATATATACACATACACACATACATACACATGCTAAATAGCAGGGCTATTCATAGCGACTACAGTTTCGACAATTTGCTGTATTTTTGGCAATTTCCGTTACCATGGAAACCGTTAGAAACTTGTTTCGGAAATGTCGGCTGGGATTTCGGGATGGGTCCTAATCTCTCGTGAAATTTCGCGATTGGTGTGATTTTCACCAGCTATAAATAGCTGAAAACGGCGGGAACGAACCTGATTAACAGCGCATGTCTACGACAGCCGGACATCCTCTGTTTTTCTGTTTCATCAGTTTGATTGAAAATAGCGATAAGTATTCAAAGTTGGCTTTAGGCTTTAACTGTTACTCGTCCTGGTAATGCTAGTTATATTGAATTCTCCGTCCAATTTTACATTTGTGTATAAAATTTCTTTCTTAACAGTGGCTAGTTCGATTTAGAATGACATTTTTTAGGCAATTGGTATTATGTGGCTGTGTCTGAGAAAAATTGTCTGCCATCTTGTCCAATGAAAACAAAGCCAAAACGAAAGTGTGCAGTTTGGTTGCGCAGAGAAAACTTCTTGTTTCTGGGAGACAAGTTTTAGCAGCTGTTTTTTTACATCTCATCTCTACAAAAACCTACATATCTCAGCTCAGAAATGACACACAAGCCTAAATGAGGTACCGTTGGAAAGAGATTGTTTACAGCTATCTAACTGTACTGGTTTTATTGGTTTAAAGGGCATTTTAAAGATTTGACTAAAGTATCTACTATTCTTTCCATCACATATAGTGCAGCTCATTAAAATGCTCTATCAAGACCAACAAGCAGCAGTCAGAATAGATGGAGAGACATCAGACTGGTTTGACATCAAGCAAGGAGTCCGTCAGGGATGTGTGCTGTCACCGTATTTGTTCAACCTGTACGCCAAAAATATAATGAGAAATGTAAGAGATGATATAAACAAGGAACAATATGATGCCCTAAACATTGTGGTCATGAAATACGCAGAAATTCGTTATGCTGATGATACAGTATTACTATCAAACATCACAAAATGGTTTAGAAAAACTTATTAACCTCACTCCAAAGAAATAGTGAAAATCATAACTTATTTCTTAACATAGCAAAAACAAAGATAATGCATACAAACAAAACTGCCATGGATAGGAAATATATGTTAATGAGGAAAGATTGGAAGTGGTGGAAAATTTCGAATATCTTGGGTCACTGGTTACCAACAAAGGTGACACAATGAAAGAAATTAAACGGCGACTATCAATTGCTCTTCAAAGACTAAAACAACTGAATAAATTATGGAATTGTACAGATAGAATTACAAAGTCATTTTTTAAGAGCATGCATCTTTTCCATGAAAACATACGCCTGTGAGACCTGGACACTTACTAAACAAGCGGAACAGCGCATAAATGCATTTGAATATAAATGTTACAGACAGGTTCTAAGAATATCTTGGGTAAAGAAAAGAACAAATGCATCCATACTTCAAGAGCTGCAATTATTGAAGAGGTGTGGCTAGTAAGACACATTAAAAACAAAGAAAATTGAAATATTTTTGGTCACTTTAAAACGTCATGGAAGTCTAGAGAGAACAATAATGGAGGGGTATATGCCTGGGAAGAACAGGAAGAGGAAGGCCAAGAAGAAGATGCAGGATGTGGCAGAGGATCTCCAGATGGGTGTATCAGACGCAGGACATCTTGCTCAGGATAGGAAGGTTTTCCGGAGGGTTGTTATGGCAGCGAGGTTTCGCGAGGGACATGCTACTGAATGAATGAATCTACTTTTCAACTAGGTTTACTAAGCGGCTAAATGTTTTAAAAAGATGATCTTCATTGGCCAAAACCCAAGCATAGAAAGATTATTAATATAGTATATCTGGCAATGGTCTACAAGCCACTCGCTTAGTCTCGACGGGCCAAATTTGACCCGCGGGCCGCCAGTTGAAGTAGCCCTGCTATATAAATATAACATACGTTGTGTTAATCAATCCTAACCTAACCATCTCAAGCTTTGCATGGCATTACCTGTATCACATAAGAGTGCTCCCGTCTGTGTGAAGCTACCTCTGCTCCCAAGGAAAAGCACTGAAATACAAGAAAAGATGCATGTTACCCAACCACAGACTAACACAAATGGAAAATATTACTAACATATGACTTGACCTAAATGGCGGAGTAAGTTTTCTATAGACGTGATACACCACCAGTGTGACGTCACACTTACCCGTAAACAAACGTCGAAGTCGACGCATTCTGTGCACCGCAAACGATGTCCAGAGATCTCATGCTGACAATAGCTGCAGCGTATTTTTTCCATGGTTGAGTCATAGTAATGTCTATAAACTACTACACAACATCGTACCAGCCAGAAGTGTCAGTTAACGGTTCAAATCTTAAATCTCCTGCAGCCGTCGGCAAGCCATCTTTCTGCTAGCAGACTTCCATTGAGCTCTTGTTTTAGTAGGCTCTTGTGACGTCACTACCGGCATGCATAGCGTGTTCCGGCAAGGAAGGAAAAAACACATTCGCCGGTTATTTACTTACATATCCTTTATATTTTACAGAGAGTCGCTAACCAACTCTGGAATTTGTTGGCGGTTTATGATTTTACTAGGCAACAACGTTTAGTAGATAGTAACACAGTGGTTTGCTACCAAGTCACCGGCAGCTGATTCGAACCCGGTATAGCGGTTTATGATACTGCTCATAACCCCCTAAGCCACAGACGCCGATATATTCCCTCGTAGGCAAGTTTCAGATGTGGTGTCTGAACAACACCAGGGCCGGGGAACGCGTTGCTTGCGACCTGGTTTCTCGGCGTCTGTTAGCTGGAACATTCGATAAACACCGCGTGTTGGCTAAATAGGGTTTAGGAGCATTTGCTGCAAATAGATAATATTGGAAATTACACACAGTGTGTACTGTGTAGTCGAAGCCAATGACCACTATACTATTTCACGCCTGTCCTCAACGCTGTAGTTTACCGTACACTTAGACAAACTAAAAACGGGTATCCCACGCAATGAATATTTATAATTTAGATATAACACATCTTCTTCTTCTTCTCTTCCACCTTGTACCTCGTCGAAGTGTCCGGGGGAGATGTAATGTTCTTTGATGGGCTCTGTCAAGAGCACTATTAAGACTGATGTTCATTTCTGTAAGGCTGTTCTTAATGCCATCACTCCAAAATTTCCGAGGTCTTCCACTCGCTCTATACCCGTTGTAACGTTTTAGTGTGGCGGATAGTACCAGGGCATTCTTGTTAGGTGTCCAAACCACTTCATTTGTTGTTCTTTGATGACCTGTAAGACTGACTGTAATCCTAGCATTCGTCTGATTTAATGATTTCGTATTCTGTCTTTCCTTGAAACTCCTGCAGCTCTTCTAAGGCATTTCATCTGTGTTGTCACAATTTTACGTTCATTGGAGGATGTAAATGTCCACGTTTGGCATTGATAACATAATGTTGGCCAAAAATAGTATTTAACACATCACATGATTAAAATCACATTTAAATGTAGAATTTTTTTTCTGTTGTGTGTTTTCGTCCTTGAACATTTTAAATAACAAATAGCCTAAACTTAATTCATTCTTCTGGCTTTATTTTGCACGAAAAGATTAGTAAAACAAGTTCGGATGGAGCTGCGTTTACCACAGTGCCCCTCTATTAATGTGTAGTTTTTTTTTTATCGGACATATGCGCATACAAAACGTTTGTTTTTTAATGAACTGTGGAATTGCTACTGAAATTAAGCTTACGGATTTATGATTAACAAGTTTATGGAAACAATAAATAGGAGGAATGGGGGTGGGGGCACTCATTGGGACTTTTCACCCATCTCGTCGGCTGCAAATTATGATAGGGAATTCCTCGGAAGGTCTTATATTGTAGGGTGGTTAGGGGTAGTTTCCTCTTCCTCTTCTTCTTTCGTTCGCCCAGAATAGATTATCTATATTTGCAGTTTCGTCTCTAATATGAATTTCACTGTATTCTGTAATTCACTTAGCGACCTATGAAGTTCTGCTTGAACTGGTGTTTCTCTTGGGCAGACCTTTGGCAGTGCGATGCGAATTGGGTATATTTTGAGGCGGGCTCTAAAAGGGGCCATCTTGGGGTTTCGGCGGGAGAGTTCCCTGAAAAGGAGCGACAGTCTCCATGTTTGCACACTCGTCAGTTGGGATTATGGTCAGGGTTAGATGCAAGTCAAGGAAATTCACGACGAAGGCGAAGTCACTAAGTAAGAACACCGCTTGCAAACAGGTAAACGATGAACACGCTGAAAACAACCAACACATGACACGCCTAGAACGTAGCTGTTTTAGTGTTGCAGGGTTACTGTTAAATAAACACTGGCTAACACTAACCCTAACCCCACCCCTACCCCTACTCCCCACCTCAGTGCCCTTCCTCATACTACAGGACCTTTCAGGGAACTCCCCAGGAATTCCTTACACAATCTCGAAGCAACATCATGAGAGACAAAGCTTAAAAGAACCAACTTATTACTTTGGCATGTTATCGATACTAAGTTAGTTACGTATCCTTTACAGGACTTTGCAGAGCCAACCCTAGCATTTATTGGCTGCTGTGGTTTTTCCAGCTTAATTTTACGTTCAGTAGTTTGCCATTACACTGAACGGTCAGCTCTCTGTACCACAGTCGAAACCAGCGCAAAACAAATCGTCCGCAGCAGGGATCGAACCCGGCATTCCGGTCAAAATGGACACTAGGCAGGGGCACTGTTCGGAGCCGAGGCAAATTTTTTTCGCTTCTGACTGACGGTAGCCGATGCATTTTTGCTCCATTTCTAGACTGGATATAGTTTCGTCGCCCAGCTTCTGAGTTGAATGCATGGCGCGACACTGTGAGCTGCAGATTTAATTTGGAATGTTTTTTCGACTGTGACCAACGGGGTGGTGTGAATTGTAGATTCAGAAAATGGCGCGATGCATGTAGTCGCAATATTGGTGGTGCCCATATGTGATTAAAATTGATCGCGTGGGCAACTGGTGACTTCTGCTACCATCAATGATGAACTGCATTTATAATGTCGGACTGTTTGAGTTAGCAACCGTATGCTTTAACAGGAGTGTATGCTAGATATGCTGAGACAGTAGTCTGTCAATCTTTCCACAAGGGACTGTGATAAACCTTATGTGTGTTTTTCGTTGGCACAGGAGCGGAGCAAAGATGGGGGTGACCCGTTTGCTATGAAGCTAAAACTAAGACTACCAGGTCAGACAAGAACCCGGCATTACGAAGCGCGTTCGCAACGCCTAAGCCACTGACGTTATCGATACTATCGAGTCAAACAAAGGGGATGCTACAGTTTCTTTGCACGGCCTGAGACTGCCCCGCTCAGCCTAAAACAAACACATACTAAAACTTCACATGTGTAGCGCACACCATTAGTAAGTAACCAGGTCACAGCTAAGCACAGTGCATAATCGCTGGGTGGGATTTAGCCTATGCTGGTAGTGTTTCCTCTATAGGGGTTTGTTATTTTATTGCCAACAGACTAAAACCCAGTGCCCAGAGGGAAACCTCAAACGGATACCAATCGCGAGCATTGGTACCTGTGATGCGTGAAATCGTAATCTCAACACACCCACCACCAGGGAAACGTAATATGAGAGAGTAGGCTTCTTTTGGTATTATCCTCCTTCCTAAATTTATGTGGATACAAGCCTCCCCAGTCTAGAAACTTTGTAAAAGGTCTAATCAACCTTCCCTTCTTGACATGTCTCGAAGTTTTGTTTTTAAGTAGTAATTGTTTCAATATTTCTTATTACTTTCAATATTAAAGAAAGCAAAATAAACACAGTTTTACAGAATTTTAGTTTAGATAAATCAAACATTTCCTTTGAATTTTAAATTTTAAAATAATTCTCAGAACTTTTATTTGAAAATGGTCTCTGAAATCCATGCCAAAAATATAAAGGAACCAGATTATTGACAGTCCAATTTTTGAGGAGTAATCTGTACTTTGGGGTTGTCTAGGACTACTTACTGTTAATTAGTTTGTGCGATGTTAGGTTTATTAATTGAGAAATAGGACTTATCTTCAAACTATAAGATACTCTCGCCGGTACTGCTAAACAGGCTAAAACCATTCGTCGAAGACTTATTGGGAGATTACCAAGCAGGTTCCGACAGAACAGATCAACAATAGATCAGATATTTCATTTCACGGCAAATAGCAGAGCAAAATTGGGAATAAAGAAAAGATGTACACAATGTTTTTGTGGATTTAAAAAGGCATATGACAGTGTGCATAGAAACAGTTTATGGAATGCTATGAAGGACTTTGGAATACCAAAATAGTTGATTAGCATGACTAAACTATGTATGGAAGACACTTGTAATATAGTAATATATAAAGGCCGAAAGTCAGACACTTTTAAAATAACATCTGGTTTAAAGCAAGGTGACGCTCTGTCCCAACTTCATTTCAACGTGGCCCTGGAGAAAATTCTAAGGAAATTGAAACAAGAGTGAACTATAGGAGAAACAATAAGAATACTTGGATATACTGATGACATTTATATCATTTGAGAAAATAAACTAGAAACTGTTAAAACACTCACTGTCTTAAAAGAATCAGCTCAGAAAATTGGACTAGTTATCAGTCAAGATAAGACAGAATACACGATAATAACTAGACAGAGAAAGGATGTAAACTCCGGCCACATACAAGTCGATAATATGAAAATCAGACGAACGGAAACATTTAAGTACTTAGGTGCAAACTTCAACTGCTTCAACATGCTGAGAGAAGAAATACAATCTAGAATACAGTCTGAAAATAAAGAATACCATGCCCTTCAACATCTGCTAAAGTCAAAGTGTTTGTCTCGCAACATCAAGATCAAAATATATGAAAATGTTGATAAAACCAGGCGTGTGTTACATGGCTCTGAAACTTGGAGCACAACTGAAAGAGATGTAGCCTCATTACATGTCTTCGAAAACAGAGTCTTAGAACAAATCTTTGGATCCATCAAAGATGCAAGCAGCGGTCAATGAAGAGTGAGAAGCAACAACGACTACGACCAAGGTACTCATAGCAGAAAGTACGGAATGCCTACAGAACCACCTAAATCACATTCAAAGGGGAGGAATATAATATGAGAATAAACACCGAGAAGACTGAGATAATGGTGACAGGAAGACAGAAAGATAATTAATAAATAAAAGTCAAAAAGCAACGCCTTAAGACAGAGAAATTCAAGTATGTGGGGGCAATTTTCACATCCGATGGACAACTGGACTGAAAAATTACGCCGAGATGTACCAAAGCTAATCGAGCACGG